TCGGCGGGCCGGGGTCAGCCGGGGCGAGCGGGGCCGGGGCGAGCGGGGCGAGCGGGGCTCACCGCACCGGCTGCTGTGCAGCGCTGAGACGGCGGCGCTTCCCACCCCTGGACGGGCGGACAGGCCTCCAGCCTAGCGGGGCGCGGCCGGTGGCTCCGGCTCTGCGGCACCGCGGCAGCGGGGCGTGGGGGGAGGCCCTGGGCAGCCGCGTGCCAGCGGCTCACTGTGTCCTGTTTTTCTCCACCCACAGCCGGACTCTGCAACTCGCTCCCCTGCGGAGCCCCGGCCTTCCCCGCTGGCCAGCGGCCGACGCCGGTGCCCAGAAAAACGCCGGTGGCGGGAGCGTTCGGGGAGCCGGGGCACCAGGCTGCCGGCACGGCGGACAGCTGCCTAGCTTCGGCACCGGCACGGAGACCGGCGGCCGCCCCTAGGGCTGCCTCGCTGTCGGTTGTCTACGGAGTTTCCCACAACAGGGCGCTCCCCAGCCTGGCTCTACAAGCCCGCAGCTCCGACCGAGCCCTCGGCGGCGGCGCCCGCCGCCCGGTGCTTCCACGTCGCCGGGCCTCTCCCCCGGCCGCCGACGTGCGGACAGTCCCAGGACAGGGCCGATTTGGCTCGGTAGCCCTAGCGGAACGGCCCTGGCCCGAGAGGAGCAGCCGGCGGCGGCGGCGCACGACGGTGACTGATCCAGCCCTCGCTCCCCCCTCGGAAGGATGGATGTGAACGAGCTACTAAGTGTAGTTACTAATAACAATAACAATAAATTATCGGACTGTTGCTCAGTAATGCAAACAAATGTTCCGTGAACCACGCGGAGTCTCCCCGTGCCTCGCAGCAGCCCCACCGGGACCGGCCCGTCTGACGAGCGGCTGTTCCGCGGCCCAGGGAGACGACCCTGCTCGCCCGGCGGCCTCACGGAGCAGGTGACAGGGCCAGCGATCAGGGACGGGGCCAGCCAGGATGGCCGACAGGGGAGGTGGTGCCGGCGGTATCCGGCAGAATGCGGTCGGAGGCCGCGCCGCGTGAAAAGCGGCGAGCACGGAGCCGGTGTTTTAATTAAGCAGGACCTCTTTGATATAGGCCGCTTGATGCTATCTATCTCTGCTCTCTGTTCCCGTCACGACAGCATTTGGGTAGGAAAATTGCTGAGCGAGGCGGGTCAGGCTGGGCGTCGGTGCCGCGCCGAGGAGCCGGAAAGCCCCAGGGAGCGGCGGTGCTGCGCAGCGCTGTCCTAACCCCGCCGCGGTGCGGTGCCGCCGTGTGCCTTTTCGGGGGGCCTGGAGGAACGGGAGCCAATTTACCATGATTAAAGGCACAGGCGAGGAGGCGCCACGCATTTGCATGCGCCTTCATCTTCCCTAAGTGGATTTTTGAGGGCAGCGCGGCAGACAAGCTCGGGCTCCGCATTCCCTCCGCCGGTGGAGCGCCCGTCCTGGTGGCCTCACGGCGTGGAGGGCTCGAGCCCCCCGCCCGCCCCGCTGAGCCGCAGGACCGGGCTCGGCTCTAAGGCCCGGCGCGGTCGCGCTGCTCCGACGCGGAGCGACTCCGCCACCCGGCCCCTCCTGCGGCGACCGGCGGCTCCGTGCTGTGCCCGCGACTAACCCGGCGCCGGGCACGACCCGAAAGGGCTGCGCCCGGGGCGGAGGCTGCTCCTCAGCCTCATCGGGCCCCCGGCTCTCGCTGCCCGCTCGCATAGCTCTAGCGCGGGCCGTGTTACTGGCTCAGCCCTGTCCTCACCCGCCCTGAGCCGCAAGGACCCAACGGGCCGGGCCAGCGGCGGCGGCCCCGGGACAGCAGCGGCGGCCGCCGGGCTCGGGGCCGGGTCGCACCGAACGCAAGCGCTCTCTCCGGCAGCTCGCCGGGGGCAGGGACCCGATGGGGCGGGCGTGACGAGCCCGGCTGGCAGCAGCGTGTCGCGCACATGTGCCCCCGCGGCGACCGATGC